TGCCAGCGAACTATCATTTTCATATGGAGGAGACTGCTCGAATCTGTAAACTACACAGTTCATTCATCTGTACTGCAATGACGCCATTGGAGACAGATCCATCTTCGTTATGCAATCTGATGTGCTTTAGTTCATTGCGCTTGGTGACATCCCGAAGCCCCAGCTTGGGACGCAAAAACTATATGAGCTGCCACATGTGCTCTTTCTTCCAAACCACGCGCAGTGCAAAGGCACCAATTGTGTGGAACATCGGCTGCACGCGCCACACCTACGGGGTGCGACCAATCAGGCTCCTGCCAAAAGGCACCTGCACAGGCGGCTGCCGGTGGATGCCTGCAGACACGGCTCCGCAGCCCTCATCCAACGCTTCAACATCAACACATCATCGAAGAGTGGCCACACCCAAGTTAGGTGACCTAACTGCAGGTGCCGTTGCGCTGACCACATTTGAAAGGAATCGGTCAACAAGAGGCCAACCAGGAGCCACACAGAAGCCACATCTTCGGGCAAGTTCGGCTCCGCAGGGTTCATGCAAAGATTCGCCATCAACGAGGCACCCCAACCAGAAGGCACATCCAACGCAGACACACTTCCGCAGGCCACATCTGCTGGGAAGCAACCAGCAAGGGGCCGAATGAGGCCCAGCCAGAAGCCACGTGTACTGGCAGGCCCACCTCTTCATACCTCATCCGAAGGGTTTGCCATCAGCAAGGCGCCATGCAGAAGCCACCACTGATTGCAGGTGCAGTCAGCAATCCACACAAGGGCCCAGCTAGAAGCCACATCCAGCAGCAGGCGCGCCCCGTCCACCGTGGAGAGACCACCCACGCGATTCATCCAGAGCAGCCCCATCAAGTGTGACGGGACTCCGTCAATCAGCTCCGGTTACACTTGTGTCAGCAGGCTGGGGCCCTATTTATGCCGGGGCCCAGGATGCGGTCAGCTACAGTCTCCTGCTGACCCCCGAGTCGGGCACCCGTTGACCCCTATCTCCTCAAATCCGAACCCCACCAAACTCCCCAGGGGTCGTGGAGCCCGGGGACGGGGACAGGGCATCAGCTAGACCCCAAAGCGGAGGAGAGGCAGCCAAGCGGGAAAGCATGGCGTCGATGGGCCGATTGAGTGGCCTTATCATGGCCGTGCTGGCAACTTCCCTGTTGGGGACGGCGCAGTGCCAATGCCCGGTGAGGCTTGCCTGTCAGAGCGCCGACCGGCCGCCTGCACCGCGTTTGGCATCCGATTTGGGGCTCGCGCGGTCGGAATGCGTGGAGCTCATCGCCAGACGACGGCGGCTGGCTCCGTGAGATGAGTCTCCGTGTTCGTGTGGGTTGACGGCTTTCCGCACGGGCTGGGGTCCCCGGAGGCCGCCGGCCAAGCCGGCGCTCGTGAAACACGCCGATCGGCCCCCCCGCAACGCATCCCGCACCCGTGGGGATCGTGCGATCGGACCGTGACGCGTTCATCGCCAAATGGCGACCGGCGGCGCCTGGGGTGCGTCACCGCCTTTTGTTGGTGTGGACGGCTTCCCTTCAGCCCGCACGGGTATGTCCATTGAGGCCGCCGGCCAAGCCGACGCGTCCAACGATCTCAACTCGATGGAGCCACGGCCCAAGTCGCCTTTCACGTTGCTCCAGTGGATACATTCATTCGCTAGGCTCCCGTGGAGTGCAAGCGCCATGGGCCATCGGCAGACATGGATCCTACCACGGCGCTCGCTCCCGCAGTTGCCCCGGGCTGTGACGGCGATCGGCCTCGCTTCGGCACGGCTTTGGGGCGCCTGCGCTGCACAACGACCGCGCCCGCAGTTTGTGTGCTCTGCCCTGAATGCATGCCTTACCCACGTCCCTGTACCCTTTCGTTGTTCTCATGATCTTGCTGGGCAGGACGTCACTTGGCATCTCGGCTTGGGGTCCAGAAGCTTGTGTCAAGGCGCGTCGTTCGCATGTGTTGTCTCTGGAAACGGAGTGGTGTTGGCCTCATGGCCCTGTGTCCATGCATATGCTCGCCCAAATCTGCCCTGGGCTCCCACGGCCACGTCACTTTGGTATCTCGAGACGCTCGGCTGGGCGTTAAAATGTGCCCATCTCGAGGCGCGTCGATCGCATGTATTGTTTCTGAAGACGGAACGGCGTTGGCTCCGGTCGAGAACCGGCGCCCAAGCTTGGGTTGGCAGCAGGGGGAGCTCTTCTTTCGGCCATGGCCGCGTTGGCAACACGGTGGAGGACATGCGGCGCCGCCTGCTCGCGAACAGGGTCTGTGCACCTCGGCCCAACGCTCGGGCGGCCGGTGCCCCACAGCCCCCACAGCCCCCCTGCGTGGCTTTGATTTCAAGATCGCCCTCTTACTCCTTCTGTCTGTCCTGGCAGTTCTCGGGCGTGGTGGCCGACCAGTGGACCACCAACAGTGGCCTGCCGGTGTATAATAACGACGACTCGCTGACCGTGAACCTCCGGGGGCCTGTGCTGCTCGAGGACTACCACCTCCAAGAGAAGCTGGCGCATCTCAACAGGGAGCGCATCCCGGAGCGCTTGGTGCACGCAGTGGGCGCCTCCGCCAAGGGATACTTTGAGGTGAGCCACCGTCAGTCCACACCGGGTTCATGGGTTTGCGCGGCGCGCTCGAGCGCTTGTTTTGTCCGTGACTTCGCTCTAGCTGCAGGGGCAACAGGTACCGGCGTATATTTCTATGACTTCATTGGCAATTATCGCTCATTCCACCTGACAGGTTTGCTGACGGAACATGTTCAGTTGGATCTAACGTTATCAGCAGCCATGGCGAACTCCTGCCGGGCGGAATGTGCTGTTCAAGGACAGCGTTTTGGAGCAGTGCAAAGTGGCTGAAAATCTCGTGCTAATGCCCTAATCACTGTTTTCTTCTGGCCGAAGCTTTTATGCAACTTTGGAATGTGTTTAAGAGCCGCTCTTTGCGAGCCATGCTCCTGTCAAGGTGGCTGCTAAGTGTGTGTTTTGGTCCCGACAGGTTACTAAGGACGTCAGCAATTTTACGTTTGCGGATTTCTTGAGCGAGCCGGGCAAGAAGACCGACGTCATTGTCCGATTCTCAACGGCCGTTCCGTCCAGGGGAGGGGCGGAGACGGTGCGAGACCCCCGCGGCTTCGCAGTGAAGTTCTACACCAACGAGGGAAACTACGACCTGGTCGGCAACAACATGCCGGTGTTTTTCATCCGAGACGGAATGAAATTCGCGGACATGGTCCACGCGTTCAAGCCCAACCCCGTGACGAACTTGATCGACGTAAGCACGCCAAGGAGCATGCACACTAGCGCCACGTTGACATCCCGCGTTGGCTCCTGTAATTTTCAGTGATTGGGCAAAGCCGTCGCCAGGCACGTTGGTGAACCACGATTCACGTTCACAGACACTGTAGCTCCACCTGCTTACTTCAACTTGCTTGTGATCCTTCCACTTGATGACGCGCATTGGGTCATCAGTTGTGGTTCAGATATCGATGACGCCACCCAGCTACGTACTGAGAATGCAACTGTTGTGCAGAACTGGCGCTTCGTTGACTTCTTCTCTCACCATCCCGAGAGCCTGCACATGGTGAGCTCTCATAATATGCTTGAAAGATCTTCCACCTTCTGTTTTGCATTGAAGTGCTGCAGCCCCCATTCATATTGATGTTCACTATTTGTGACATATTTTTTAATGCTCTTCCGAAAGAGGAAAGTGATGGACTGAAGTTCAGCATTTGAGCGAAATAGGGGCAATTACTCCGAACTCCTTTCTTAACTGTTGCGAGATTTCAACATGGAAATTGCTGATTTTCGTTGCGTTTCTCCCCCAGTTCACGCACGTTCTCGACGACATCGGCATCCCCAAGGACTACCGCCACATGAACGGATTCGGAGTGCACACCTTCAAGTGGATCAACAGGGAGGGGAAGGAGCGTCTTGTAAAGTACCACTGGAAATCAAGCCAGGGTGAGTGCGGCTGCAGTTAAATTTTCACGTGCGGAAAAATGCCATTTTCCGATTTCTTATTTCTGTGTGCATTAGTAAATCTAAGCGACTGAAAATTCCTGTAGTAACGGAACGCCCCGATTTAGAAATGGATAAAATGGGGCCACCACCACCACCACCACATTTTAGCCCCACTTTCGTCGATTGTCCAGGACAAGGAGCTCAGCTCTCCCATCATGTGCGTTCCGTGGAGGTACGTGCCATGACCATGACAGCATTTTTGCACATGACGTCGTGCATGGTGGAGATATCACTCACTTCATGTGTGCACCGCAGTGTAGACATTTATGTCGTGTTCCACAGGCACATGACGTCATGCATGTTGGAGATATTATTCACTTCATGTGTGCACACAATGTAGGTATTTAAGACTTTTTCCACAGGCACATGTGAATGCAATCTGTGCGCTTTCAGGTGTGGAGTCCCTGCTTGACGAAGAGGCCCAGGCCATGGGTGGAAAGGACAGCCTGCACGCGACGCGCGACTTGATTTCGAGCATTGCGAAGGGCGACTTCCCAGAGTGGGTGCTGCACGTTCAGCTCATGGACCCCTCCAGCATCGCATCCCTGGACTTTGACCCCCTGGACGCCACCAAGACGTGGCCCGAAGACCAGTTCCCCCTGCTGGAGGTGGGCCGCATGGTGCTGAACAAGAACATCAACAACTTCTTCAACGAGAACGAGCAGCTTGCCTTCAGCCCCGCGCTGGTGGTGCCCGGCATCACCTACTCAGACGACAAGCTGCTGCAGTCGCGCATCTTTGCGTACACCGACACCCAGCGGTACCGCGTGGGGCCCAACTACCTGAGCCTGCCGGTGAACGCGCCCAAGAGCGGCATCCTTAATAACCAGATGGTGGACGGCATCCTCAACTTCGTGAACAAACCGAACGAGGAAGTCAACTACTTCCCCTCGAAGTAGGTGTTCTGGGCGGGCCGCTTTGGTTTGTGTCATTGAGCTCCACGCCATACCTGCCACTGACAGTGCATAGTGCCTCGTGGCTGTGTCGCTCCTAATACAAGGTGCATCAGCGGCATTCTCGGGACTGTCAGCACTGTCCTTGGTTTTTGTCGAGCTTTCAGTTGACCCAGTTGTCCGTTTCTGATTTCGGATTCTTCAACTTGTTTGCGTCTTCAAAGGATCAATGCCGGCAGGTTTGCTGGCCCATGGCATGGAGCGTGCTCTTATGTTGTTGTGCGAAATGGATGTTGAACAATTGCCGCTGTGCGCTAATAGGATCAGTGGCGCTCTGCTCGCGGAAAGATACCCCATCTCGGGTGAGAGCATATGCGGCAAGCGGATGCAGCAGGTCATTAGGAAGGAGAGCAACTTCGCACAGCCAGGGGAGCTTTACCGCAGCTGGGACGCAGATCGACAGGAGAGGTTCGCTGAGAGGATTTCCAAAGAAATGCTGCTCCAGCCGGGAGTCACCGAAGTCCTGCAAAAGTGAGCACCACGAGGGATAAAATATGAATATGAACATGAATATTTGCCTTTCTTGAAATGTCGAGTGCGTCAGTAGTACCGGGGAAGGCAATCTGCCAGGTAATATGTCAGTCGCATGTTGGCTAATGGTGAGTGCGTCATTAGTACCGGGGAAGGCAATCTGCCCGGTAATATGTCAGTCGCATGTTGGGCAATGGCGATCAACATTTCTGAACAGATTGTTGTAAACACAACCACCTTACGTTGCATGTTATGAAGTGTAGAGTGTTTAGCTGCCTTGCTCTTTAGAAAGGAAGGACACCCAACTACAAGGATTGAAAACATTGCTCAAAAATTGCTAAAATTGCTATATATGATAATATAATACAAATATAATACGAAAATTGCTCTCCTGTTTATTTCTGCTAATGCGCGCTTCCATGCGTTGCAGGATCTGGGTGCATTATTGGGGCGAGGTGGATGTGGGCCTCGGAAACAAACTCATGAAGAAGATGGATGACGCTGGGGTGCCGCTGTGAAGCCTTCGAGGGGTGATACTTCTCTTTGTGCAATAGATAGAGGCACGTCACACTGTATATAGAGGTTATCGACATGATGGGTAGCCACCTGACGGTCGATGACTAGTCAGGACGAAATTTTGACATCTGAATTTAGGACATAGCTCAAGTAATGGAGGTGATGACGGGCGACTGGGCTGGACGTCTTTTTGCGCCAAATTCCTTTGATGATATGACAGGCGACTGAACAGGCTGCATTTTGTTGCGCCATAGTCCTTTGGTATGACAAACGACTGAATAGGCTGCATTTTGTTGCGCCAAAGTCCTTTGATGATGGGCGACCGGGTGGGCTGCATTTGTTGCGCCAAAGCCCTCTGTTCATTGAACAAGTTTGAAACATTACTGTAAATTGAATTTCACCTCCACAAGCAGAATTGGACTGTGGTACTTTGCAGAGGGCGATACTACGGTGTGGAGCCGGGGTCACGTACGATACAGCAATGTATGGACGACCCGCCCCACTGCGCACTGCACGAACACGAGACTGGCGTTCAGACCGCCAGGTTCGAAAACACCTTGCCACCCTCCAGACCATGGGCACGCGCGTGGCAAGTGACAATCAGGCAAACAGTACCGCAACCTGTCAGAACCCATGTGCTGCCCAGGGCAGGGATCTCGGGCACGTGGCTCCTGCTGTGCGCCAGGATTTGCCCCGTTGCGGCACTGGCATTCGCTGGCGTCTGCCGTTTGCAACACCAGCCGAAATCCTTCGAGCAACGCAGGCGGCGATGGGCATAGCATCCTATCAATATTTGGCCACGGAGCCCGGATTCGCGTGCCACCCAGTGAGCGGCATTCGCATTGGCAAAACAAAATTGACGGTGGAGAAAAGAACGAGACGTCCGACTCGTCCGGTATGGACATTGAAGCGTGCAAGAGCTGTTTTGCCCGGCTGTGATGTGCATACCCTGATGGATTGTTCCGTTTCCGCCAAATCGAGCTGGAAGCAAAACACGGCGGCACAGTGTCTGTTGACTGAGCCAGGAACCAACTTGCAGGGAGCTCGTGGCCGAGACCACGCGAGGCCTGCACGGAAGGAGAGATAGCAGGAAGCAAGGAGGCAGTGCAGGCACAGCCTGCGGGAAAGGAATGGACAACGATACATGGTCAGCCAAGGCCAAACTCGTAATTCAGCACCCCACAGGCGAATTTTATTAGTTAAGCTACATTCACGGTATGAGCACACAAGCGTGCACTGGAGTCCAGTCCGACTGTAGTCCGACACTATTGCTTAATTTTGCACATGGATCAGATCTGATCCATGACAGTTGCACCATGTTCATCATGGTTTGAATTCTTCTCTGCCACAGAGACGATGACAGCGTTTCGATATGCCGGAAAGGGATGAAAAGCACCAATGGGAGCAGCGAGCCCTGAGCATGCGATTTGGACCCAAGATTTAGTTTCAGTCAGTCACTATATGCAGAATACATGGTGGGGGACAATGGGGGGAGATTAAGGCAAGGGGAATGGCCACCAGATGGGTGTCTTCGGAGCTGGATAAGCCTATCTGCCAGCATCAGGTGCTCACATTGACCCATTTTTCCACCACTCAGAGCATCATTGATGCTCAACAGGAGTACCAACAAGATTTGCAGATGTCCAACCTATAGTTTTTGGTGATGAGGAACGTTGTTGTCCCGAAACCAATGCTTGCCATACGGTTGGTTGCTCTTGAGTAGACATCCTCTGGCATCCTAGGGCTATCCCCACAGATTTTAGAGCAAAAATATGCAAGGCTGTTGAGCCTCGACTGTTGTGACATGCTGGAGTCCCTCCCAACTGAAGTGGGCCAACTGGAGCAACTGAGAGTGTTGTCCATGAGCGAGTGCAGTAGCCTTTGCGGCGTCCCACAATCTATGTAGCAACTTTCAAGGCTGACCGATATGCTTTGGAGAACTGACTTCGACGGGGATCGAACCGGCGACTTTCCCCCTTTCGGGAGATTGTCTCGTGAGTGAGCACCACTCCACACCACAAAGCCCTTGGGCGATCAACAATGGGTGTGCTATTGTTTTATACTTCCTTCGTCCGGAATTAAATGAAACAATTTGTTGACTGACCGCATTTTTATCATGTGCTTTTCATTTTTCCTTCAAAATTGTACCAGCGTATCTACTATGTGTTTAGTTAATGCTATCAAAAATTTATCGACAGAAAATAAGATTCAGACATATGGTAGTACTTTAAAGCCAAACGACTCAGCGCCAGAATTTGAACATTCGCAGTCAGTCACCCACCCCACCAAACCTAGCGCCCCTGAACCCAGGAAGGCCCGATGCCCTTTCCAGTGGTCTTCACAATAACAGAAAGGGGGAGTTGCCTCGATCTTTGGGCTAGAGCCTGAGCACCAACACCCTTCGCAACGCACGGTCGACAGAATTGGCACCTATGTTTGCGTACCACCATCGACGGATGCTCGAAATCCCCCCCATCTCCACAACAGCACACTGACATGCCTGGGATCCCCAACTGCCCAGAGGTCTCCTGGTGGCTAAAGACTAGCCGCTGGATATTTGCACGCAACATAAGTTCTGGGTTCAGCACAGATCTCCGATTAGGTGCCTTCTTGATGCAAGCAACCCCTCTTTCCAAACAGGCTTCAACCCCGCCAAACATGAAAATTGAGGGTTTCGATGCTCTATCGGAGACCCCACGTATCTCTATGGTGGCGTTCTTGCATCTTGCAATGGCACGGGCGAAGCTCAGTTGCAGCGGCACCCTTGGGGGCAGTGTGAATTGCGCACAAAGTGTTTCTCGCGGCACGTGCCCACCGCAGTCAGTTTCAACGATCTTTTGGCTGCCACGCAGCGAGGGCACGATCACATTCTCCCAAACCTTCCGTGGTGGTCTTAGCACCCATGGCGCTCTCGCCCATGGTGGGGATCCTTTCTGCGAACGCCGCGATTGTGAGATTCGCAGATTTCTGGGTCTCCGATCCGGAGCTGCTGCCCCCATAAGGCCATCAAAACCACGGTGGCGATCAAGGATCGAGTGGTACAGAACCCGGTTTTGTGATCTTCCCCCTCTGGCAGGAACGGTGTCGACCTGCCACCAAGACGGCAGTGACAAATATCCACTCTGGGATGCGCACCGTCAGCCGCAAGGCGATCTGGTCAAGGACCTGTTTTGGGGGCTGTTCGGCCAGACCTTGAGAAACCTGGACTTTTTGACTTGAATCACAAGGGTTCAAAGTACTGTCACGTGGCCGATACTTATCCATTGTCGACAAAAATTTGGCAGCATATAGCAGATGTGTAGATAGTATCTTGGTTCAATTTTAAAGGAAAACTAGCGAGTTCGTGATATAAATATGGCCTCTTAAACAAACCGTTTCATTTATTTCCGGACGGAGGAAGTATCATTTTGCAACACGGAGTTGATCGAAGCTATTTACAAAACTGAAAATTCTAGACTTGAGCTGATGCCTTGGTTTGAAATGTCAGTGCGTACGCACGGTGTAGCCTACACCCATCCTTTGGAGAGCTGACATTCTTGAGCACATTGAACTTGGGTGGTTGCTAGTAGTTGGAATACCTGCCAACTGTGGTTGGCCAATTGGCATGACTGGTTGCTAGTAGTTGGAATACCTGCCAACTGTGGTTGGCCAATTGGCATGACTGGTTGCTAGTAGTTGGAATACCTGCCAACTGTGGTTGGCCAATTGGCATGACTGGAAGTATTGGGTTTCCCTGGCTGTGGTAATCTACCAAAAATCCCTGCCATAATCGGTCAACTTTGCAAGTTCGCAGAGCTGGACATCCAGGGCTACTCATAGTTATCATGCCTTCTTGCCATCATCGGAGATGGGTGTCAAAGATTGCAAAGGCTGTGATTCTAGGACAACTCTATAATGAAGTTTCCACCATTTGCAATTTGCCTACATGTACTAGAAGTGCTGGGCTGGGCTCAGTTTCACATGCCTTTGAAGAGCAAATATGGGAGAATGGCGTCACAGTGCAGCACTTTGCAACATTTGAGTATGAGGGCAATATTTAAAAGACGCGTTGTAGCCTCAACTGGCTGGAATGACTACATAGATTCAGTAGGGATGGTGAGCTGTTTTGAGTTGTATTTTAGTCGCCACCATCGCACATTTGTGCTTAGACTAGGAATGATTCCTCGAGTTGTTGTTTATTTAATATTGCTTGTGCATCAGTGACATTCTTGCAATTTTTCAAGTGTATGCTATGTGCAACATTTCTCCAAATCAGATGGTATATTGATTGCAAGCCACAAGGGACCTAAGTCACGTCCATGGATTGCCCAACACAGATTGCAAAGTACCATTTATGGAAGTTGAAAATAATTGGAAGCAGCCAATTGGACGACAAACAAAAGGTAATGCAAATCAAGCATTGTATGAATGGGCATGGACATAAACATCCAGACACATAAACAAATGCAGGGAATACTTGTAGCTGCATTGGGCCAGCTAAGAAAGTCTTTATTTTGAATATCTCTTGATCTGTGGCACATGTGCTTGTGCAGCTGTAGTGGTTTTGTCTTTATTCTTTTTATCACAGGCCAGTGGGCATTGCTGCATGTGATGCTCGGTACAGAATGGTATTTTAGAATTGATGCTTTGCTACAATGACATGCTTCGCATATTGTTTTCACCCTTGGGCGCACAACAACTATGGTGTGCTCTGGGTAGTGGGGAAGCACGCCTCTCCATTGTGCAATGATGAAAGGCTTAAAGGAAATGGATCCGTTCCATTTGGTAGAGACAAGAGTTGACTACTAAGACAAGGTGGGAGAAAATTCACTTGAGTGGTCATTTCCGATGTGGTGTTGTGCACGAGCGCTTCTTGAGGGAAGACCATATTTAAACATGCCACTGCGGTGTTCAGATGTATGAAGAAGGTCGATTCTACGCCGGTGGACGAACACAACAGCCATTTTCATTCATGGTTAGCAAATAAATGTGCGCACATTCGGTGGCAAGAATGCCACAGCAAATAAATGTTCGCACATTCGGTCGCAAGAATGCCATAGCAAATAAATGTGCGCACATGCGGTCGCAAGAATGCCATAGCAAATACCTGTGCGCACATGCGGTCGCAAGAATGCCACCTGGCATGATCCATCTGTCGCGATGAAAACTCAATTACATTGATTGTGAAATTTTCACAGCCCCTTCATAGGGGTCAAGCCCCGGCTTTGTCTGCTCAAGGCAAGTGATAAAGGAATCGTGCAATTCGCATAAGATACAGCAATTTAGCATCATAACGCATCCTACTCAGTCACCGACCGTTCTTCTCGTGTCCCTTGCTACCCGTCCCCGGTACATCTAGTGTTCTTGGTACGTCTTCCCTATTGTTTCTTGCCATGCCTTCCCTAGCACCAATAGTTAGATGCCAAGAGGAAGGAATATCCCTAAAAAGCTTCACAGCAGCACCCCCGCGTCCTCCATTTTCGTTTTGAGCTTGTTTCCGAGGCCGACATCCACCTCGCTCCAATAATGCATCCAGATCCTACAGCGAACGGGAACACAAGAGCATCAGAAGCATGAACAGGAGAGCTGTTGCTGGTTGTCGTTTCCCGAATTGAGGTCAAATTCGCTTGCAGTTTTGCAGGACAGAGAAACGGGAAATTCTGCATTTCGAATGTAGGCAACACCGGCAAACGCATTATATATAGAAAGGCTGAGCGCTGTTGTGCAACGCATAGCTGATGCATCACATGCCGCATTGCTGCATTGAAATGTCGGTTACATCGGTGGTGCCACAGGAGGCAACCTCCATGTCCTGCACGGTGCTCACTTTTGGAGGACCTCGGTGACCCCCGGCTGGAGTAGCATTTCCTTGGAAATCCTCTCAGCGAACCTCTCCTGTCGATCTGCGTCCCAGCTGCGGTAGAGTTCGCCAGCCTGCCCGAAGTTGCTCTCCTTCTTGATGACCTGCTGTGTTCGCTTGCCACAGATGCTCTCGCCCGAGATGGGGTACCTCTCTGCGAGCTGGGCGCCGCTGATCCTATTCGTACAGACAACGGCAACTGGTCAGCACGTTGCACCAGGACTAGGAAAAAAAGTGCCAAATAACACGTGTTCGAATGTGTACAAAGTCTACGGGTTTGTGTTATTTGCGTGTTCTTAGCATGCAGAACACTGATGAAATGCACATATACGTGTTCGCAAAAAGTGTTATTTTTTCAGTGTTGAGCGCAACACTTCCTGTGGGGAGGACCACAAGTCTTGCCGGCATCGATTTTTCGAGGATTGGAAAGAGACTTCAAGGAAATAAATTGGAAATAGCAGGTAAAATAACCAACCGGAAACTAGGAAATTTTGCAATTATCAGAAAGCCGTCACCAGACGATTGGCACATCATTGGCGCTCGCACTGCCGTGATCACTGAAACAGCCACGATGAGGAACGACACGCTCTAAGCGGTGAGAGGAGTTAGAGCGAGGAACGCCGACGCAAGCCAAAACGGCCCATCCAGAACACCTACTTCGAGGGGAAGTAGTTGACCTCCTCGTTCGGCTTGTTCACGAAGTTGAGGACGCCGTCCACCATCTGGTTGTTAAGGACGCCGCTCTTGGGCGCGTTCACCGGCAGGCTCAGGTAGTTGGGACCAACACGGTAGCGCTGGGTGTCGGTGTACGCGAAGATGCGCCCCTGCAGCAGCTTGTCCTCCGAGTACGTGATGCCGGGCACCACCAGCGCGGGGCTGAAGGCCACCTGCTCGTTCTCGTTGAAGAAGTTGTTGATGTTCTTGTCCAGCACCATGCGGCCGACCTCCACAAGGGGGAACCGGTCTTCGGGCCACGTCTTGGTGACGTCCAGGGGGTCAAAGTCCAGGGAGGCCGCGGCGGAGGGGTCCATGAGCTGGACGTGGAGCACCCACTCGGGGAAGTCGCCATTCGCGATGCTGGTGATCAGGTCGCGCGTCATGTGCTTCTGGTCCTTTCCGCCGATGGCCTGCGCCTCTTCGTCGAGCAGGGACTCCACACCTGTTAGCGCACAAACCATAAGCACACGCAGTGGTAACTAGCGGCTTAAGCATCACATGGCTACGATCAACGCGACCTTCAAACGGAACAAGGCTGTGAGGAACTGCAATTTGCGGCACTTGAAAGAAAGTCCTGAGACGGCGCTCACCCTGGCTGGACTTCCAGTGGTACTTCACGAGGCGCTCCTTCCCCTCGCTGTTGATCCACTTGAAGGTGTGCACTCCGAATCCGTTCATGTGGCGGTAGTCCTTGGGGATGCCGATGTCGTCGAACACGTGCGTGAACTGGGAGAGGAACGCAACGAAAGTCAGCGACTTCAATGTTCGGATTTGCTGCGAATCTTGAAAAAATAAACCGGGCGAACCATGCAAAAGTTTTTGGACAGTTGTACGTTTCGCCAATTTGGCGCTGTACCAGGCATGTGGCCATTCTAGAGTTTGTCACTGTCCCCAGATATGCGGCGGCCATTCTACAGTTGTGCCACAATTGTTGAATGCACAAAAAAGGATGTCGACCTCAATTCAAATGAAATACGCGTAAAATCTTTAATGCACGTGAGGATCGCTCACCATGTGGACGCTCTCGGGAAGGTGGGAGAAGAAGTCCACCATACGCCAGTTCTGCAACACAGGCGCTCTCATGGTCAGTCGGCAGGTTACGGACTCCAACTCTGGGCCACAATTGTCCATTTTACTTAGAGAAGAGATGCCCCCACGCCCACTATGCTACAGGAAGACGGAATAACTTCTTCGACCATCAGCCGGTATTCGTCTGTGGGACTAGACGACGCTTGCTGGGCCACAATTGTCCATTTTACTGGTGCATGTAGAGAAGAGATGCCCCCACGCCCACTATGCTACAGGAAGACGGAATAACTTCTTCGACCATCAGCCGGTATTCGTCTGTGGGACTAGACGACGCCTGCTGGGTCATTCAAGCCAGGACTCAAAACCGAATATCGGTCTGATTCGTCTGTGGGACTGGACGACGCTTGCTGGGTCATTCAAGCCAGGACTCAACACCGAATATCGGTCTGGCATTGAAGTTCATGCTCGTGCGCTTACGTTGGGCAAGTTCGTCACGGGGTTGGGCTTGAACGCATGGACCATGTCGGCGAACTTCATGGCATCCCGGATGAAGAACACCGGCATGTTGTTGCCGACCAGGTCGTAGTTTCCCTCGTTGGTGTAGAACTTCACCGCGAAGCCGCGGGGGTCTCGCACCGTCTCCGCCCCTCCCCTGGATGGAACGCCGGTGGAGAATCGGACAATGACGTCGGTCTTCTTGCCCGGCTCGCTCAGGAAATCCGCGAAGGTGAAGTTGCTGACGTCCTTAGTAACCTGCCGGGACCAAAACACACGCTCAGCGACGTTCTTGGGCCAAGGACAACTTGAATACACGGCTCACGCCGCCAAAACGCGATTGCAAAACCACAGCGTGTTTGAGCGGCGACAGCAGCATTATCTGCCTGCCGTCATTTCTCTCAGATTTCGAGATTCTCTAATTTCGACATCTAATAATATAATTTCGAGATTCGGCCTAGCAAAATGTGTAGCTAAACGTTGGGCGGAACCTGCCCGGGGGAAGTGGGCGAATTTCTTGCAGGTGAACGCGACCATCGCACATGCCATGCATGTCACCACGCAACGCGCAAAGGGACATGCTCCCGCAGCGTGTGCCCTTGGCAACCAACCTCGGGGCGCTGTACCGCGGACCACGATCCCTACACTCAACCAGGGCGAAGTCCCAGCTGAAAGCGCATGCGTGCAACTGTTGTGAACTGCAACGAATGTGCCGCGGCCTGGACGATCGCCTTCCTTCGGCGACGGTGGCTCACCTCGAAGAATCCCTTGGCGGTGGTGCCCGTCGCGTGCACCAAGCGCTCTGGGATGCGCTCCCTGTTGAGATGCGCCAGCTTCTCCAGCAGGTGGTAGTCCTCCAAGAGCACCGGGCCGCGGAGGCCCACCGTCAGCGAGTCGTCGTTGTTGTACACCGGCTGGCCACTGTTGGTGGTCCACTGGTCGGCCACCACCCCCGAGAACTGGCAGGACAGACAGAAGGGCTCAGAGGGCGATCTTGCGATCAAAGCTACGGAGTGGGGGCGTGTTGGGGCAAAGGAGCACCGGTCGCCCGAGCGTGGGGCCAAGGTGTACAGACCACATCTGTGTGCAGATGCCGCCGTTTTGCCATCCACCGTGTTGCCAACTCAGGCTGGCCGGGTTGGCTACCAAGGATGCCAGCGTTTTTCAGCCCACACGCCTCTGTCCTTGGATGAAAACGCAGGCAATCGACGCGCCCTGACACAAGCTTTCACCGCCCAGCCGAGAGTCTCTAGAGGCCGAGTGACGTGACCGCCGGAACCCAACTGGAGAATGTGCAGTCAGCGGGATCCAGGGAAGTAGGAAAGGCGAAGGCAGGCATTGCGGACCAAGGGTATTGCGTTCCGGAGCTGGGGGCACCCCAAGCCAAAGTTGATGCAGGGTCGATCACCGTAGCAGGTCAGGGGAGCGGCGGGATCCTAACGTCGTGGTGCAGGGCCGACCGCCCTAGCAGTCCAGGGGAACGGCGGGAGCTGAGGGTCGTGCTGAGCTCGATTGTCGCGGCATGATCCATGTCGGAACAGGGCCGATCGCGGTCACGCTCCGTGATGGGGACAGGAACTGTGCGCAACAATTCGCCAAACGTGACTGGCGCCATGGACAATGTTTTCCATCGAGCTGAGATCGCGTGAGTGCGTCCGTTTCGCCAGGCAGCGCGTGCAGAAGAGAACTCTCCGTTCCTCGCGAACACAGCCCAGGAGCCGCCGATTGCCATCTGGCGATGAGCGCGCTGCAGTCCAATCGCGCGAGCCCCGCGAGCGCAAGGCGAGTGGCCGGCGGCAAGTCGGCGCTCTGAGAAGCGAGCCTCACCGGGCATTGACACTGGGCCATCGCGAACAGGGAAGCCGCCAACAAGGCCATCATGAGGCCTCTCGATAGGCTCATCGACGCCATGCCGTCGCGCTTTGTGCCGCTTCTCCGCCTTTGCCTAGCTGAGGGCCCACCCGTTCCTTCGGCACGGCAGAAAGGTGGGACGGGACGCTGTGGTCGGTCACGTCCGGATGCGGGGAGGTCGAGTTCCCTATTGCGCAACTCGCTTCCGATGGGATCAGTATATTTTGCTGACCCCCCGCGCAAGGCGGCACATATAGGCACGGAGCCGGCCGCGGGGCACAAGTGTGCAACTGGTTGATGGGTTCAGTCACACATGTGTGTAGGGGGCGTCTGTGGACGTCAAAGGCGGCGCCGCCAGCCGTGTGTAACTGATGGGACTGCCATTGAACGCGTCGCGTGGGTGGGCGGCCCAGCATTGGTGGACTGGGCGCGTCTGCCGTTGGACGCGCCTTCTGGCTGACCCCTTGTCGATTACGAGCCATGAGGTGAAAACCAAAGGGGCCGCATACGAGGGCCGCGTGCCGCTGTATGTGGTTGTATCTGGCTGGCCCCTGATCGGTGGCGAGGCCCCTGATGCATCAGGGTCACCATATGGTGACCAGCCGTTAGAGGAGAGGCCGCTGGGCCCGCGCCTGCCGTTGTGAATGGCTTCTGGCTGGCCCCTGATTGGTGGGACACAGTCAAGGGGGGCCTGGGCAGCCTTGTATCAAACGCACCACTGAGCGGCATTCTTAACATGATTAACGGAGGTTAATGAGCGCGGACGCGCCAGGACCGCGTCTGATGGGTTAAAGTGCACAGCACGGAGACCGAAGCTATCGCTCCTCGCGTCAAGCGCTGCGGGCCATAACCTAGCGCGACCGTCGCCGCCAGCCTGCTGCGGAAGCAAGCGCAAAGGATGGTAAGCACGGCGGCGGGGAGAGCGAGCCGCGCTAGCAGGAAGCGGGGAGAATTTTGCGATCCACCCTCTCGCATCGCGGCTCGCCCACGGGCAGCCCCGGCGCACCGTCGGTCTGCCCGCACGTTGGGTTCGCAACAAATCGCCGGGGGCGCCCCGTCCTCCCGTGGCGTTTGCGCGGCGCTCGGGCCGCGCCCTTCGTTTCCGCGACCGCGGCACGTTGCGCGCTCAGCCGGCGCGCATCCCGGTCGGGCGCGGACCACCTCCGCCATTGGCGGCGCCTAGGTTCTCTCCGGCTACGCTCATCGCGCACGGGCCGGCTCAGCCCGCCCACCGGCACGCCGGTCAAGAGCGCCCGCGCACGGCGGAGCCCTGTGGCGGTGAACACCCGCCTTGGGCGACAACTCCAGTGTCGTGCCTCAGCGCCCCGCTCATCGCGGGGGCGATCGCACAGCGCACATGGCGCTCTGACAGCTCACGGCGGTCCCCCTTCTCAGGCGGATCACTTTGACCCCCACATGGAGGAGTTGGACTACGATGAGGCTTCCCCACGGGGGCCGGGCGCGACGCCCGAGCCCCTGGAGGAAGCGGCCGAATGGGAGCACGTCCCTGCAGAGATCGTTGACCAGCCCTCAGCGGGCGAGAGACCAAGCTCATGGGTGGAGCATGCCCAGCCGGAGGGACAGATAGAGCGCACGGGCGCCAACCTGACCGTCCCGCGTAGTGGCAGGTAAGCCTCGACGGCGTGGCAATGCGCAGCAGCCTCATCGACTCCAGCATTTTCGCCAAGCGCCGCCGCCGCTCGGATCTCGATCAATCCGTGCCCGAGCCAGCGCGTGCCTCCGGGCTGCGAGCCCTTCGCTTAGCGTGGACGCCGCTCACCTTCCACCGCTCGCTTGCACTACGGTCGTGGGTTTCCATGGCAGGCGAGCTTCGGCGCCACACGGCCTCGCGTTAGGGGCGTACTCCAAGGGGGCTCGAGTATTCGACGGTGTCAGGATCCCGCACCCTCTTTTGTCACCTCGTTCGCGGGGTACGTGAACGTATCGCGCCGGCTGCGGTCAACCCGCACGGTGACGTCACGCCCGGTCTCCAGTGCCATCTCTCGTCACACAGGTGGCGCCATGGCGGAGGCCAGCTCTCTGCCCCAGAAGGACCCGACGCCGCGACGGCCGAGTTTCCGCTCCGATTCCATGACATCGAGCAGGAGTTCTCTGTGGCCGACACTCTCTTCGAGGTCGCCACCGCGCGCCACCTTGGGCCGCCGCCGCGACCGCTGCATCTGCTCACCATGACTCTCTGCGAGCACATGGGCATGGTCGACATAGTTCAATACGCTTCACACGAGGTGTTGGCCCTTCGCCCCGCCTCTTGCCCGCCGTGGGCGACGCCCATGGAGGTGGCTCATCGCCAATGGTTTGAGGTACATCTCCCCGCCGTCACCTTCGACGCAACGGCCGTGCAGAGGGACGCGTCCTGGGTGCCCTCCAATACTAGCTTGGCGCTCATCGCGCCCGAGTGGGTCTTCGCCCATGCTCACTTCGAGTGCGTGGCCGAACATGAATTGCCGCCCTCCCTCAGCGTGGGGCTAGGGATTATGTTACGCGCACCAGCCTGATGTGGGAGACGTCCTACTAATGGCCCTTGGTGTGGGGGACGCCCTGCCCAAGGCACGTACTATTCCTCACCCACTGTAACCTTTATCCATATTAGGATACGGGAGTAGGAGGGGTGGTCCCGCCTAGGTGCCCTGTAAGGACCTAGGTGCCCGGCGGGCGGGTCCGCTGCTCAAAGAGGGCAGGAACCCCACACCCACATCCTATTCGTAACA